CTGGGTTGATGGACTTTGTAACGCTCCAACGAATAGCAGAGCTTTCCGTGGGCCTTGAAATATCCGTATGTCAACCATCGAGGTAATCTGGCTGACGAACTCTTGCCGCCCACTCGCCCACCCCCTCGTCCGTGGTAAGTCCATCTACCCTACCCGTCCTGTCCTGTCCCATCCCGTCCCATCCCATTCCCAGGTGCCGGTGTCACCGCCCACGATCGCGGGGGGGCCAAAAGATAAGGACCCTAGTCCAATCAACGTAGGTTCCGGTTACTCAGTCGAGGTGAATGGTTCTCAACTTGACGACGACGGTCGAGCCCTCGGCCTGACTCCGGGGTCGGTGCTGCTGCTCCGCCCTTTGCCACATATATCCCGCCTTCGTCTTCCCATCTCCTTGTTGTTGTTTCTCTCTTCAGATCAACAGGCTCTTGGCTCTTCATCTCCCACTCTCTCTTCTCACTTCTCCAACTGAAGTCAGACCCGTTCACAACCAGGTCCGTCCTGTTGTTCGTGCATACGTGCTTGTCTCAAACACTACCAGACGCAATCAACTCTTGACATCACTCTGTCAAAGCTCCTCCGCTCAGGCCCCACGCCACACATACACACACACAAAACTTGAACCTCGAGAAGCACAGAAAAACCAACCTTCTTCAACCTCCCACGAAGCCAATCATGGATCACGACCAGATTAGACAACAGCAGGCCTATGCCACCGAGGGCAAGGACACCAAGTCCCGGGAAGGCCCCGTCGTCTCCCCCCAGTTTTCCCGCGATGCCGTCTTCCCCGACGAAATAGTCGGCGAGGTCACCGACCTCAACCACCAGGACCTCGAGAAGGCCAAGGCCGCCCAGGGCAGCGCCCACTTCCACCGCCTCGGCTGGAAGCGCCTCACCGTCGTCCTCATCGTCGAGGCCATCGCCCTCGGCAGTCTGTCTCTCCCCGCCGCCTTTGCCGCCCTCGGCATGGTCGCCGGCGTCATCCTCTGCGTCGGCCTCGGTCTCATTGCCATCTACACCAGTGACGTCGTCGGCCAGGTCAAGATCAAGTTCCCCCACGTCTCGCACTACGCCGACGCCGGCCAGCTCATGTTTGGCCGCTGGGGCTACGAAATCATTGGCGCCATGTTTGCGCTGCAGTTGACGTTCCTGGTTAGCTCCCACACCCTCACCGGCGCCATCGCCTTTGGCAACATCACCAACAACGGCGCGTGCTCCATTGTCTTTGCCGTCGTCTCCGCCATCATCCTGCTCATCCTCGCCATCCCGCCTTCCTTTGCTGAAGTCGCTGTTCTCGGCTACATCGACTTCGTCTCCATCATCATCGCCATCGGCATCACCATTATCGCCACCGGCATCAACAAGGGCGAAATCACCACCGCCCCCTGGTCCGCCTGGCCCAAGGAGAACATCACCTTTGCCGAGGCCTTCATCGCCATCACCAACCTTGTCTTTGCCTACAGCTTCGCCATTTGCCAGTTCTCCTTCATGGATGAGATGCACACCCCGCGCGACTACAAGAAGTCCATCTGGGCCCTCGGTCTCATTGAAATCTTCATCTACACCGTCACCGGTGCCCTCATTTACGCCTTTGTCGGCCAGGATGTCCAGTCCCCTGCCCTGCTGTCTGCCGGACACACCATCTCCAAGATCGCCTTTGGCATTGCCCTGCCCGTCATCTTCATCTCGGGATCCATCAACACCACCGTCGTCGGCCGCTACATCCACGGCCGCGTCTACAAGGACTCCATCATCCGCTTCATCAACACCAAGATGGGCTGGATCACCTGGCTCGGTCTCATCACCGTCATCACCGTTCTCGCCTTCATCATCGCCGAAGCCATCCCCTTCTTCTCCGAGCTCCTGTCCATCAGCTCCTCCCTCTTCATCTCCGGCTTCACCTTTTACTTCCCCGCCCTGATGTGGTTCTTGCTCATTCGCGAGGGCTCCATCTTTGCCAAGGAGAACGTCTGGAAGACTGCTCTCAACGGTCTTGCCTTCATCATCGGCATTGTCGTTTTGGTTTGCGGTACCTACGCCAGCATTGTTGAGATTGTAAGTTTTTGCCCGCAGATATATACTCTTGATGGTGTGAAAAGATACTAATTGTTTTTGAATTAGAACCTCAAGTTCAAGAATGGAAAGGTTTCCAACCCCTTCACCTGCGCCCCCGTTGGCTAAATGCCAACTTTATCGAATTCGTAGTTTTGATAGTACAGATAATAATACCCCTTGAATTATCTTGTAACATGTAACAACGGGCCTAAGCTCGTACAATTCCGTGAGACTCATCGTCGTGAAATTTTACCACACTGGCGGTATCAAACGGGCACGTCCGAAACGGAGCGACATGGTAGAGTCCAAAGTTGCGATGAAAACCTAGAACAAAGTCTACTTGAGTATCTAAAAGTCAATCTGCAATCTATATTGCGGCAAGACGGAAGCTTATGTCGGTCGCCGCAGCAGCGTGCCGGAGCTGGGGTTGACTGGGACGCGGGGATTCGACATGACTCGTTCCCCCAAGCAGATTCCAGTTGACTATCGGGCAATAAGTGTATCTTATTAGCCATGGTAATAGCATGACCTTTCTAATGAAAGCAAGGGTTCGTTTAAAAAGAAGCCTCAAATCACCAAGAACTCAAGTCTGAATTCTGTCCTTGGCTCCAGTGCTCGTGATAATCGCGGCCGCCAGGGAAAGTGGAAAGGAAAACAGCCTCAAGCTCACATGACACGACACGTGATGCACTGCTAAAAGTCTTGGACCTCCTGGAGCAACCCATACCCATCCATGCGTTCCTTTATTGGTTTTTTAAGTAGGATCGGCTATGTCGGACAGGGTGACAAAGGGAGACAGAAGGCGTCGATTCGCCAAGGTCAACAACTTCTAGCACGTCTCCTGTGATTGTGTTGGATGGCTGACAATTGCAAGTAGGCCTGCGATTTTTGTCGTAAAAAAAAGGTCAAGTGCGACGGCAACAGACCAAAGTGTACTAAATGTCTAGATTTGTCGCTTGCGTGCAACTATGCCGATGTTGCAAAACCAGCTGCGCGCCGGACACGGCTAAGCAAAGCGCGAGCATCAACTCAAGATTCCTTGGTTGAATCACCTGAGGGCTCGACTGCACTCGAAGCACGCATCTCAAATCACAACAGTGTGCAGATTACACCCAATTCTCGAGCTACACCGTCAACGCTGTCGGATATCGGAAGCCCTCCTACATCCGAATCCCGGGCATCACCGAGTTTAAGTGAGCTTGAATCAACGCTTTGTGGTTGTGGTTGGTACGCGTTCGGTTTCACTGACAATGGAAATGTTGCAAGACTCTCTCATGGGCGGCGGTCGAGACTTGCGCTATTTTGGTACGAGAAGTCTACTTTTCGAAGAAAATGCATGACATCAAATATTAAGTTGCTTCCAGGACCATCTTCCGCCATAGCACTATTTCGCACTGAACCGCTGTTCGCTGAGCGAACAACCTCGACCCGGCGACGGAACGGGCAGCCAGGCTCAAGGACAGGGCCGTGGTCCTTGTGGACGCATCCCAAGTTGCAAAGCGTATTTGAAAAAAGGGTTCACTGCCCCCTACCACCCTGGGCCGAAGCCTTCTCGCTCGTCAGGGCCTTCTTCGAGGAGAAACACATGGCACTGCCGCTCTTTCACCCGCCTGCTTTTATGGCGCTTCTCGGCCAGCAATACTCTGGGGACTTTGATGGTGGTCCGGCTTGGTGGACGTCATTCAACGCCATTCTGGCACTTTCTCAAAGACGGCGCGTCGAGCAAGGCCTTTCTGAGGATGCGGAGTTGGCTTGGGCCTACGCGGCAAACGCACTCGACACCGTTCTCGACATCCTCATGAGAGCCACGCAGCTCATGTCGGTTCAAGCTCTGCTGGTACTAGCGTGGTTCTTTCTGGGAACGCCCAACCCGCAGCCCAGCTTCATGCTGGTTGCCAACGCCATTCGGCTTGCGCACACCATTGGGCTACACAGAAAGGAATGCAACGCGTCGTTGAGCCCTGTTGAAAAGGCAACAAGGGTCAATGTCTTTTGGCTCGCGTTTTCTCTGGACCGCGAGCTGAGTCTCCGAACCGGCAGGCCTCCTGCGCAAGACTTTGGCGGCTTCGAGGTTGATCTACCCGATTCGCTCATGCAGCATGAATTCAGCACCCATGGTTCCTCACACACTCTGGTCAACGTTTTCATCGCCTATTCGCGCCTTGCTGTCATTCAAGCCAAAATTTACTCCAAGATCTATCTTAGAGAAGGGCTGAATCCTGACGGTATTTCAGATGCCACGCAAGCACTCTACCAGGACTTGGCAGACTGGCGAGTCGAGTTTGCCGCGGCTTTGGACCTTGACGGTCATCCTGAGCTGATTGAGCACCCGTCCGTCCTCCGCTTGAACTATACCTATCATCACTGTGTGATTCTAGTTCATCGAGCACAAAGCGAACAAGATTGGAAGTCTTTGGTACGGCCCAAGCCCTCTGATTCGTCTTCCTCCAGGGTCACAATGTCTATCCAAACGTCCGTGGATGCTGCTAGGGCGATTCTCAAGCTGGACTTACTCATCCCAGAAAGCTGGCAGAGCCTGACGTGGTACGTTGTCCCATATTCATATCCAATGTTGTTCTTGCATTCTTCAACGGCAATCACTAAGTTTCACGACCAGGGATGTGATTCCTATCAGTGTGACTGCTATTCTCATTTTGTCTCATTACTCTTTGCGTCGATCCCGCACAAGTAACGCTGCCGAGAACCTCGCATCAGTCTCAACGGCTCTGCAGCGCCTTGCATTGCTTGAACGCTCACAGCCTGGTTCGTTTCTGACTCCCGTACGCGAGGTATGTCAGGACGTGCACAGAGCTGCCCTGGCAGCCTTGGATTCTTCCGACGACACTTTATCAGTATTCCAGACTTCAGCCTCTGATCGACACCTTACTGCCTCCCACGTCACTCAAGCTCACCGAGAGAGCCCATCAGATGCTCTGCAAAACTCGTCTCGAGTGACATTATCCACTCTTTCTCCTGCAGTCGAAACGCACCACGAAACACTCTTGAACACGAACAACAACGGGATCAATGAAACAGGCTCTTTGCCATGGGACCAGACAATCCTCGACTCGTGGGGCGTTCCTTGGGGATTTGAGCATCTCTTGGGAGATAATTACTTTACGTTTCTCTAATGAACTACCTACCTTACCTAGCTCAAGAGCAGCGAAGACTCACGAAATCCAGTCGGGCCTCGATCTTCCTCTGCGACCGCTTGGTTCATCCCAACCCAGACGAGTTGATTCAAACGTGAATGCGGGAGCCAGGATCCTGAAGTTCTCATCCAACCCAAACTCCCGTCCGCTCATGTCCCAGAAATACTCGGGGTGTGCAAAGATATCGGGGCGAATTTTTTTCCAGGACTGGTGCGTCTTACCAACAAGAGCACTCATATCGTCAAAATGCCGCGGGCTAAATTCGGGATCCCGGTCTCTGAGCTCCCTTTGTTGCTCGTCAGAATAGAGGCCTAGGTTGTAGTACCAAATATTGTACTGGGTCAAGCTGATGTCGATATCGAATGTAACGTCCTCTGCTGTACGACCAATCAAGGCCTGGATGGCAGCTGTAGCACCGATCAAGCCTGTCTGGTAATCCGAGTTGGCTGGAAACCCCGTTAGCAAAATGCCCAATGTGCGGGGGAAACCAGGTGACCTACGCAGAAGCGGCACAACAGGCTCGTCCAAACCGAGGAACCGGCCCTGCAGATGAGACAAACCGACCAAGCAATCACTAATCTGCTGCCATCCGGATCGGTGAGCTAGAGGGCCTTTGAACCCGTAACAGTTCTCCCGCATGTAAATCAGGCTAGGGTTCAGCTCGCGCAAGGAGCTCGTGTCGAACCCAAGTCTCTTCAAAGCGCCAGGACGGTATCCGTCGACTAGGATATCAGCCCCTTTGACAAGCTCAGCAAAAGTCTGCTTCCCCTCCTCCGTCTTGAGGTCAATATTCGTGTCCCTCTTTCCTGTCTGCAGGTCTGGCATGGTCGCCCCAACGTCGGGTAGCTTGTCGCACGATACTCGGAGGACATTGGCTCCGAAAACGCTCAACATCTTGGATACAGCCGGGGCAGCAATGACACGGGAAACGTCGAGAATCCTGATCCCCGCGAGGGGCTTGAACTCCTGGTCGTCAGGCGCCTTTGGCCACGATGTCCGCGGAGCGGGCACGCGGGTTATACTCCACAGCGGCTCCTGGGACATGGCCTTGCCCTGCTCGCTGGAGAAAAACTCGTCGGGCGTGTAGCAAGTGACACCTGCCTGCTTGTGCTTTTCGTTGGCGACCTCTTCGATTTCTCTGGAATCCCACTGGGCGACTTTCTCGGCGTAGATTCTGATGGCTTCTTCCGAGGTCACGTCGACATCTTGGACGCCCATCATCTTCATTGTTGGCTCGGCGTTCATGGACCCGTGGAGGTGATACCATCTCCCGTCCTTGGTCTGGTAGACGTTGGTCGCGTGGCGCCGAATTGGTTTTGAGGACTGGTGTATGTCCATCTTGGCAATCTCTGACGCCATCTGCGGGTTCTGGAGGAACTGCTTGCCGCCAATGGTTGGAAGCAGAACAGATTCCAAGAACAAGGTCGCAACATCGGTGTTGACTTGTACATCTTGATACTCGATTCCGTATCTCTCTGCCGCGGCGACGTTGGCTGCGGTGGCTAGGAGGGCGGTAAGGGAAGCGGATGACTCGGTGATTTTCAAGGGCGTCAGGACGAAGGGTTTGGCATCGCCTCCGACGAACTTGATCTTCTTAGCAGCCTCCTTGAACGAATCCGGGAGACGTAGGGCACGGTCAGCAAGCAAGACATCGTTGAGAATACGAGATGCCTCGGTGAAGACTGAATAGTTTGACATGGCTGCAACTTTTGAGTGAAGTAGTGGTGATCCGGTGATCTCGGGGCTTTTATCAGACTTGGAGGATCACGGTTTATTAATATTCTGTATGCTTCTTCTTCCAGCGGATGTCATAGACTAGGTAGGCGATTTGAAACCTGAAATCTAGACAAAGTCACGGCATTCATGCCGTCCATATCGCTGCGGTTCAAAACTCCGGCAGATCCCCATCCCATCTCCAATCCTTCAGGCTCGGCCCGATACAGAAGAGTCTGCCGGCAGATGGGAATCTGCAGCGGAGGGATTTGGAGAACATTTCCCAGTCATGCGGAGCAGTTTGCCAGTCTCTCATTCGACATGACCACGTTCCTAGCAAGGTGCCGTTTCATCGGTGGTATGTTAGTGGGTCTTGGTCCCGGAGTTCCGAACTCGGAGTTTTGGTCACGGAGTTTTGCGCTCTTCGTGTCGCTGGCGGGTATCTCTGATATTGGATTCCCCGCTCGTTCGGGACCGAAGAATGTCGTGTTTAAAGTTACTTGAAACTTTACGAAGTCTAGATTTGCTCGAAAGTGGCAACTCATTTCGCGAGCACAGTTGACTTTGCAAAATTCAACCGCTGAGGTGCTAGTTTGAAGTATCCTCCATTGTTCACGCCCGAAGATAATAGTGAGTTGGCAATGCCTCGCTGGCACTATTCAAACCAGAAAATAAAGGAACTACGACTAGCATGGTGATGGAGACGACTATAATAACCTTTCATGCCCAGCCTTGTCTATCGTACATATACTGGGCCAAGTCGGGGTTGAACCCCAGCGCCAACCAGACATCGACGTTTTTGCCCTTTCCTCCCTGCCACTTGTGCCAAGGGAAAGAGATAATGTCGTTGTGGCCGCGGACAGCATCGCCGTACGAGTCGCGGTACCACAGACCTCCGTGCTCATTGAGACGGGGAAGCGGGACCTTGTCGAAATCGCCCGGCCCGGCAGACTCGGGCTCTTTGCCTTCTTTTAGTCGTCACATGCCTCCGGTCTCGGTTCCTGGGGAGACACAGACGTGAATCTCTTGGAAAATGTCTTTCCGTGGTTGTGAACGCCGCGGTTGACAATGTGTCCTGTGCCATGTAAGCGAATCGATCAAGAAGACAGTCTCTTCTGCCAAGATCACGGAGTCACTCACCGGCTGTCCGACGTTGCAAATGCGCAATCTGTGACTTATCGTCTTGGAATCGGAAGTGGAAGCCAGACAGATTGGTGAAGCTGACCCCCTTGAAGTTCTCACCCCACCAAAGGTCCTCGACCTTGGTGAACTTGAGGTCAGGGAACTCCAGGCCGAGCTCTCTGGTGTTGAAAGTTGTCTTGACCGGGACATCGCCCGCCTTCCCCCACACACCAGGCTCACCTACAGAGACGATTCTCAGGATGATGGCTCCCGTTTCTTTGTCGGCGCTGAGTTCCCTGTCTTCGCTGGAAATAGGGGCGATTCGGGGGAACGGAGGCAAGCCGAGAGCTGTGCGAGTGCCCTCGATATCAGTAGGCATAAAAATCCCCAACCCATGGGGACCCATGGGGACCTAAATAAATGGGGTGGGGATTTGGGTGCACCTATATTTTGGGGACATTTAAGTATAGGGATATAGGGATTATTCTTAAATGGGTATGGGGGGATTTTTCCCCTAAACCTAAAAGAAAAAAAGGTTTTAGGTTTATAAATAAACTACAAAATTAATAAAAAAAAAATAGATAATTTACAAAACCTAAAAGCCTTTTTTTTTTTAATAAAGTTAGTTTATAAAATAGTTATTTTATTAAAATAACTAATAAAATACGAAACCTTTTTAATAAACGAATATTAATATTATTATGTAAAGTAAAAGTCGTAATCCTTATAATATTATAAATTCGTTATCCTTATTTTTAAAGTCTATATAGTCCTATTATATTTACTTTTTATTATAATAAAGTAAATAGAACTTAAATAAGAAAATGGTTATTATAAACGATTATTATATTTAAAGTTATAAATATATTATAATTAACGGTCCTAAGGATTAGTTTTTTAAACTGAACTAAGGTATTTACTAATCTTTAGGATATCTTTTATAAACTTAATATCTTTTTTTTAGATAGTTTGCCGTTTTATATAGATTATAACTAAGTTAAATATTAAGAATATTAATAAATAAATAAATAAATAAAATAATAAACTTATTTTAAAAAATAAAAACGAGTAAAGTTTTAAAAGATTTTTGAAAGGTATTTATAACGTTTTGTTATATATACTAATCGATTTTTAGTTTTTGAACGATTTTATGGATAATTTATTAGAATAAGGCTTTAGGGATAGTAAACGTAGTTTTTATTTACTTTTCCCGGATCTTTTAAAGAGTATTTATTAGAAAAATTTTAAAAATATAATTATTAGATATAATAATTAAACTTATTATTAGGTTTAAAACGTTCTTTATACGGAGTAAATATTTTTAAAACTTTTTTTATTTTACTGCGGTTATTTAAATTTTTACGGGAAGTTTTAGCTTTTAGTTTAGGTAAGGGTTTTTTATTAATATTTTTTTTAGCCTTTATAGCCGGATTATAGTCGTCGTCGTTTTCGTTTACTATTATTATATTGTATATGATTTTTATTTTTATAAATAAAAGAGAAAAAAAAAAAAGGGTATTTTAAATTTATTTTGGAAGTTTAGAAAAGAGAGTATAAAAAAAAGAAAAATAAATAGAGGGAAAAACTTTTTTATATTAAAAAAATATGAGGCCGGTGATTTATTAATTAGAAAGTACGTATTTACCGTTTATAAAAATTGGAAGTTATTATAGTAATATAAGGAAAGTATTTATTTTATTTAGGATATTACGTGATTAGGAAAATAATTATATAATTAATATCGTCTTAGTAGTTTTAATAAGTAAAAAACTTAAATTACGTGTTTATATAGATTTTTTTTATATTAAAAAAGATTATATTTCCTTTCCTTTTTTTTTTTATATTAAAAGTTTTAAATTTAAATTTTTATGATTTTTTATTAATTTTTTTATGTATTTTATTTGGATATCTGAGTAGTAATTTCGATTAGTTTTTTAAGTTTATATTTTAAAAAACGCTTTAATATTAGTAATTGCTAAACCACGAAGTATATTATATTTTTATAATGTAATAACTAAATATAATAATTAATACTTAGGTCGACCCTAAGGGTCTAGGGCTAGAGAAAAAAGAAAGGCCCTTATAAAATATTTTAATAACTCTAATATTATAAAATCCTTAAAACGGGTATATTAAATAATAGATTTATAAAAAAAGGTTTTCCGCTTATATAATAATTTAAATATTACCGTTTATTAGAAAATTAAAAAGCTCTAATAAATTTTAAATTTTATATTTATATTATTATTTAATTAGGATATTATACAAAAAAATATAATTTAAGAGGTTTATAAAGATTTATATATATAAAAGACTTGAGTATTAATAAAATATTAATTTTTTTATAGTTATAATAAAGGGAAATATCCTTAATAGTTCTAACCTTAAGCTCTAAACCTTTATAAAAATAAGGAGGTAATATTTAAAAAGCTTAAAGATACTGAGCTAGTTATAAACGATAAAAATAAGGCTATAAATATCCTTATAGATTATATTAATTATAATAATAATACGATATTTAGAGATACTACGGCTTCTAAATTAAAGGTAAATATTATAAATATTTATATAGCTATATATTTAGTATATTTTTAAAAAGCATTTTAAAATTCGTATTATTTTACTTATATATTTTAGAAAATAATAGTTTCCGAATTTTATAGTTTTTGAAAGGTTTAGCTTGTAATACTTAAAGTATTTTAGGCTAAGCTTTTGTATTTTTATCGGTTCTTAATTAAAACTTATTAAGTTCTTAAAAAATTATAAGTCCTTTAGGATGATAACTTATTCCTAATTGTTTAATATTTCTTTTTTATTAAAGAGATCTTTTTATGGGCTGTTTTAGTTAGCTTTTAGGATAAAATAAAACTAAAGAGGAAATAGGCTAAGATTAGGAAGTAGATGAAATCGAAAAACAAATAAAAGTAAGTACTTTAAAAATATTTTTTAATTTAGTATTAATTCTTAATTATTTAAAGGATGAGTTTAAGAGTAGTACGAAAAAGTCTAGGTTATTTATTTAATAATAATTTGCGTTAGAATTATTATTTATATCGAATTTTAGTTCGGAAAATGATAAAGGATATCCTTTATTATTTTTAGGATTAAGATATTAAAGACTAGATAAGTTTTCTAGGCCTTATTAAGTTTTAAAAAGAGTCTTATTCTCTCTAAACGAAAGATATTAGAATTATAAATATCCTATTTACTTAATATAAAAGTTAACTAAGCTTAATACTAAAGTATTTAGAAATAGTACTAAGTAAAAAGACTTTTTTAACTTTTTAGAAATCTTTTGATATAGCTCTTTTTAGAAAAGTATTTAGTTTTCGGTTCTTAATAGGCCTAGCATAGTTCACTTTTACTTTAAGTATTAATATTCTTATTATAGGGCGATTAGTTTAAATTATAAATTAAGAAAGATATTTTATAATAATTTCGTATATAATAGTATATAAATTATACCTTTATTTTTTTTATTTTTTAATCTATAGCTTCGACGGCCTAGACGTTATGAAAGGCTAGTAAGATTTATAAGTTTAATTTTATAATAGAGAATCGGAGCTTTTAAATAAACCTTTTCGATTTACTTTTTTAAAAGTTAATACTAAGCTTAGTATATTACCTATCCTTAATAATTATCTCTTTTCCCGGTTTATTTTATTTTGTATATATTAATAATAGAAATAAGTTAATTATAACGTTTAAAAATAGATGTAAATCTTTTTTTTGTTTTAAAATTATATATAATAATCTTGTATATAATAATTTATATATAATAGTGTATAAATTGCCTTTTATCTTTGTTATTTTTTAATCCTTAGGTTCGACGGCCTAGACGTTATGAAAGGTTAATGAGATCTATAAGTTTGATTTTATGATGGAGAATCGGAGCTTTTAAGTAAACCTCTTCGATCTGCTCCCTTAAAGGCTAATACTAAACTTAGTATATTACTTGTCCTTAATAATCGTCTCTTTTCCCGGTTTATTTTATTTTATATATATTAATAATAAAAATAAATTAATTATAATGGTTAAAAATAGATATAAATCTTTCTTTTATTTTAAAATTATATATAATAATCTCGTATATAATAATCCGTATATAATAGTATATAAATTACTTTTTATCTCTATTACTTTTTGATCTTTAGGTTCGACGGCCTAGACGTTATAAAAGGCGTAGGCTGCCCGGTGGAGTATCGTTATTAAAGGTAAGGTCGATAAAATCGGTAGGCTTTTTAATTATTAAATTAATTAATATTAACGTAGGATTTGTTATTCTTTGCGGAGTTATAAATATAATTGCGCTTTTTTAAAAATATAAACGCGTTAGTTAAGGGAAAGTTTTGTTAACGTACGTAAATTAAATTTAATATATTACTTATCCTTAATAATTATCTTTTTTCCTAATTTATTCTATTTTATATATATTAATAATAGAAATAAGTTATTTATAACGTTTAAAAATAGACGTAAATCTTTCTTTTATTTTAAAATTATATGTAATAATCCTGTATATAATAATCTTATATGTAATAATTTCCTTTTTAATTACTAAATATCTAAGGCCTTATAATTGCGTCGTAATCTCTAATTTTTTATAAATCTTTATTATAATATTGAAAAAAAAATTAAATTTAGAAATTAAGTCTTTTTTTTTTTAATATTATTTCTGTTTTTTTAGAATATCTTATAATTACTCCCTAGTAGTATAAATCCTCGAGAGTTGTGTATTAATTAATAATGTTAGTAATAAACTATTAATAAAAAGATTATTATAATTTTATTGGTAAGGGTATCTGCTATTTAAGAATGCTTAAGCTTTTAAGAAAGGCTCGTAATTTATTTAATAAGGATAATATTTTTTTTTTATAAAGTGATACGTTTTATATAGATTATAGCTAGGTTAGACACTAAGAATATTAGTAAATAAATAAATAAATAAAATAATAAACTTATTCTGAAAAATAGAAACGAGTAGGGTTTTAGAAGATTCTTATAGATATTCTAAAGCGGATTATTAAAACTTAATATTATTATTAATATTAATAGTAATTTCTTAGATAAGGCGTTAGAAAGGAAGCTTAAGTAAAATAAGGTTTATTCTTTGTTATTATACTCGGATCTTTTAGAGCGTACGTACTAAAAAGTTTTTAGAAATGTAATTATTAAATATAATAATTATATTTATTATTAGGTTTTGTACATCGTAGGCGTTTTTTTTAATTAATGCGAAGACGACGAGACTTCGGATTTAGTAATATTTTAAATTCGATATTTTGAGATTTAAGAATATTTAGGAATTTTTAAAAGAAGAGGTCTGTTAAATCCTTATTTTATTTACTTTTTTTAGAGCGGTATATTATTTTATTATAA